AAATAAAAAACTTTCCGTTTTACAATTCATTTGAGTTTTTACATTAATTTAAAAATGTACTAAATAAATCTAAGCTATAGCCTAATTTTTTTTATGTAAAATAATTGTTTTTCATATATTATTTTCAGACATGAGCAGTACTCACATAGCTTAATTAACGTTACGCATTTAAAGTAACGACCAAGTGGCCAGCGGCAGACAGTGAGCATATGTTTGATCAGTTTAGCCTTCTCAAATCATCATGACTTGACTAAAATAAAATCTATAGATATAAAACAGTTCAAGCATATAACAATGTTTTAACGTTAAACCTAGATAAATGTGCGTTATATCCAATAGTTTGTGCAGAGAGTGCAAGCTAAAGCACGCTTTGCAGGACATAGAGACGCCAGCGCGATCACTTGCATTTTTTTCAGTGAATACACCGTCATTTTTGCTCATAAAGGTAAGAGTAATAAATCACTTGTAACTGTAAAGGGTCTACTTTTATTTATGTGCACTCACAGTATCAACAAAACCTTGTGCTTTTATAAAATAAAGAAATCAAACATGATGCGCTTTCTGCCATCTTGTCTTGAACAGGCGCTTCACAAAAATGAAACTCAGCGAATACATGCCTCACAGACATGATAAATATATCTATAGAAGGCTTTAAATTACTACTTAACGAAATAAAACAAATCAAAAACAAAAACTCTTTCATTATGATCATAATTTCTCTAAAGGCGTGTCTAATGAAGAGATAGCGAGTCAGGATTGACAACTTCATCCTATTGCGTGCATTTAAACGCAGAACTCTTCAGCTGCGCTGATGGCATGCACCATACATGCTATTGCTGCTGGACACTAAACACCATAGAGCCGCTCTTGACAGTTACGGTAGCACAGTCTCGTGTTGTTTCCACCAGCGCGGCAATCTTTTTTTCATCACTAATTGATGGATGTCTAAAATATAAAGATAAGGAGAAGCCTAAAACAGTCCTGAGGCCCTGCCCGCGTTTGAACTATGACGTGAAAATTGTCCCGAAGCCCAGCCTGAGGGGCGTAAAAAAGGCCCGGGCTGAAATGCAGGGCTCTAGCTCTGATCTAGCGCACACAAAACGATTTGACTGAAAATGTATCAGAAGAGATGAAAGAAAGATAGTGGTCATCTACGCAATTCGGAAAAAGAGGCGGCTTTTCTGCATTAGGTATGTTTTTTAATAACAGGGTTTTTTTTTCTTTCTTTTTGTACAGCAGTTATTGTTCATTCTAAATTCATTTTTAAATGTAGAATGTGTTACATAAATACATGAAATGTAGAACATATAAAAAAGTGCTCGTGGCTCGTCTGCCAGTGGGTCTGGCCCCCCCACGCATAAAAGTGAAACTCCGCCTATGATTGTGCTGTTAGGCTACTCCTTTCGAGCCAAAGTTCACAAGATTGGGTGTTATTTATGGGGAGTAGAATCATTTATTTATTTCAATGAATGTAATCGATTAGATATCATAATATTTAGGCTATAATATTATAAATCAGGTTGGTTTGTATTGCTGACGTAATATGTAAATGTTATGTGTGCGGCCCGCGAGACTTGCACTTGGACCATAGTGCGGCCCGGTGGAAAAAAAGATTGAGGACCACTGGTCTAGACCCTGAATATAAGACGACCGCGTTTTTTCAGATGTATTTCCAAGAAAAAATGATCTTCCAAGTCTTATATTCGGGTCAATACGGTACTAAACTTCTATTACCGGTATTAAATAATACTTGATTATTATATTATAATGCTTGACTGCTTGATTGACTGATACTTAGAGTGTACTTTCAGATATTTAAAAAGCTGTACCATTTTACAAACATTATATATGTTTGTAAAATGGCATTATATATAAGCGTTCGACCAGTATGGGTTTTCAAATGCAGATTATTTTATGAGTCTGGCCGAGATGTAAACATATTTGTTGAAATTAAATTAAATCTTATTAATATTATCTGTCTCTGTGTGTGTGTGTGTGTGTGTGAATGGAGAGAATATGTAATATAGTTGGTCTATGGTAAAAATCCTTTGTTTAAAGGATAACTTAACATTTTTAAAATGTGTAAATTTAAATTGTTTTAAATTTAAATTGTGTATAAAGTTACTTTAATCAGGATTGCACAAAGTTAGAATAAAATATTGGACTATTTTTGTTTTATTTTGAAATGTTTTTGCCTTACACTGAGGATAAGTGGGTTAGATTACCAAGTTACATAAATATAATTTGCGTAAGCAATGAATTCTTAAAGGGGTCATATGATGCTGCTAAAAATAACATTATTTTGTGTATTTGGTGTAATGAAATGTGTTTATGCGGTTTAAGGTTAAAAAAACACATTATTTTCCACATACTGTACATTATGTGTTCCGAAGATGAATGAAGGTCTTACGGGTTTGGAACGACATGAGGGTGAGTAATTAATGACAGAATTTTTGGGTGAACTAACCCTTTAACATTAAAATGTAGCATTTGCATTAATAGCGATGCAGTATTTTTGATCATTTTAGATTGTAATGTTTGGCGCCCCCTGCCAATATATTCATGAACTACAAGACAGAATTAAGTTATTTTTAATATTTTTTAGATTTCCAGTTTTAATTTTATCTAGGATTTTAGTAAATTTGACATTTTTATTACTTTTTGTGTTTTTTAATATTTCTTTTTAGCTTTTTTTTTAATTTCAGTTTTACTTTCAGTTATTTTAGTACTTCAGCTTAAACTTATTTCAGTTAATGGCCATAGCAACATTTCTAATTTTCATTAAATCTTTCGTCTAATACGTCTGTATGCAAGATTACTATGCACTTGGA